CAACAAACTATAGGTAGATGTATGTGCAGATTATATGTGCAGCAGACTTCACTGGTTGACATTTAAGCTTAAGTCACTATGGTTATGAAAGTTCTGCAGGTCTATCCTTGTGGAAGACACTTCCTACGGACCTGGCTAAGCAAACAAGGACAATGTCATTTCATGAATGGGGAGGGAAATTGGTCACAGACTTAATGGCTGTCATGAACAATACATGGAGTTTTCTCTTTAAATACATGCTTAGCTATTTTCCTAGTAACAGTAACATTTTAATTCTATAAAAGTTATGCTTTATTAATTTTCATTAGCACCTTGTGTGTCTTTTTAATATTCATACTCCAGTACCTTAGCATTTATATATATATATATGTGTAAATATTCTTCTATATAGGTTTCTTCAGGAAAAGTGAAGTTGCAAATACTCAAAGAACAGATTCAAGGTAAAGACATCTTTGTTAACTAAATAAAAACTCACAAACTTCTGGTAGAGTATCTGGTTGTTGGAGGTTGCTGCAATTAAGCAATAAAGAAATCAGAGGCTGGAGTACTGGGTTTGGGTTTGTTTGTTTGTTTTTCCCAGAGCCAGTGAAAGAACCATTTAAGCATGAAATGGCAAACGCTGTAGCTCTTGAAAAATCTGAAGTGGAGGGGATAGCATGTGGACGATGTGAAATTAAGAGTGCGCTGCTGGTACGTAAATGGTTTAACAATTACTCTGTAGCAACAGAATATAATGTGTATATATAGTAGCTTTGTGGCAGCATCTAGACATACCATAGTATAAGGTGTTGTAAAATGCATTACCTTGGGTTTGTCCAGGCTGTAAGCTGTGTGTGGTCTGCACAGGCAAGCTGTCTGACCTGGAATTCACTTCCAGGCTCCTTCATGAAGAGACCTACGTGTGGAAACACATACGTGCATGCCTAAAACACAGGTGCAGGTCTAAATAAATCTAATGTTAGCTTTCTGTATGTAAGCTTTTCTGTACAATACAGTCGTATTATGGAGGTCTATGGATGTCGTCGCACTAGCTGCCTCCTCTCCTTCCATAAAAAGGAATAATTTTGATGGCAGTATTGCTACTTTGAAATGACAAAGTCAAGGAGCTAATTTGAACTTTTAGCCTTAGTTTTTCTGGTGAATTGAAGATTTTTAATACCTTATTTTTGCAGTTTGTTCTGCTGGGAAAAATAAGACTTCTCTGAGATGGTCAGCTTGAGGTGCCATATTGACTATTAGATGTGCAGCAACTTAAAAACAGGAAAAAAAATTACTTACATATTTGAGATTAATTTGATCCTACATTATTTAAATATCTTATCTTGCTGGAATCGAAATTAAAGTAATAGGTTTTTTTCACCTGTTTCCCAAAATATAGTGGTGATATCCACTTAATTATAGGATTTCTTGCTGTGATAACTACTTAGTGCGCTTAAGGTAAAGGGAGGTTTTATATGCTGATCTCCCTGAATGGCAAGGAAACAGATTAAATGATTCTGTTATCAGAACTGTTACCTGTTCTTTAACAGGGAGTTTCTTTAAGCTGTATTTTTATTGATTTGCCCAGCATGTGAATGTGACTGAAGAAGCCTGATCTGTTAACTATAGAACACTGCCATATGATGAAAATAAGATGTATGTTTTTAGGCAAATAGGGCAAAACTGAGCGGTCTGTGAATATTTTGTAATTTTAAATACTTCGATAAGCACCAGGTCACATTCTTAATTCTGACTGCTTTCTGAGCTGGTACTTGCTAGCTATGTTAGAGTAGAAATTAGTATTACCAAGTATGAGGTGATTCATATTTAATAAAGAGATTTTGCCTTTTAGCAAGTATAAATAGGAAACCTAGCCTCCGAAATGTGATGTAGCCCCATACTATGCAATTTTTGAAGTAACTTGTGCAAATAGAGTAGTTCCGTTGTTGAATAAGAAACTAACATTTTAATTCTAAAAAAGAAGCACCTCTCTTGGAAAGATTTCCCGCCCCCCCACTTTAATATCTGCCATGGTGTATTTGTATTGCTTTTATGGCAAATTAAAGCAGTTGGAGCTGCTAACACTCAAAAGGAACAGATATTTCATTTGTGTGTGTCTTTTTAATGGTTTTCCTTAGGAAAAAAATACCTGTGGATTTTAAATTTCTGTTAAGATTACCTGGCATCAAGGCCACCGGGATTTTGCTTCCTTCCATTTTTTGATTTTTTTTTTTTAATTTTATTTTCCGCTTCATCTCATTAGTGCTCACCTAAGAATTAATACCCTGTCTGCGTAGTAAAGCCGAACATCCCCAACAGTGCAAAGGGTGCATGTTTCCTGCAAACTTTTAACGTATAATCCCATCTGCGCTGGAAGCGCGTATTTTTATCCGAGCCAGTACCTAGTTTTGCCGAGGCTGCTGTAACGGAGGCGTTACGAGCTCCGCGTAATCGGTCGCGCGGGAGAACAGCTCCGGCAGCGTTCGCCGCCTCTCCTCGGGGTGCGTGTGTAAGAGGTGGCGGGCGGGCGTTCCCCGGCCGGGGCCC